TTTGTGGGGGGGGGGGGGGGGGGTCCGTATCACAGCACTTTTCACTAGAATTACTATAAAATGGTTAATGTCAATGTCAGCTAAAGGTTGGCTGCAGTAACATGTCCAACCCAATTACTTTATGTTGCCAAAGAAAAAACACGTGAGCAATGTGACACAGGATACATTCACAGGGCAAAAACAAAAGCATACTAAAACTATATGAAGGACAACACTAAGTGTTATGAAGAAGAGCACCTGAAAACCTCAGAAAAAAAGTTTATACAACCAGAATAAACACACCACAATAAAAAGGTACACCGCATCAAAGCTGAAGTTTATGGATTAGCCAGCCCCTTAAAGAACTGCCGCTTCCTTTCAGTTTTCTTCGCATCAAACAAAGCAGGATTGTGTACCACAGTGAACTATTGTTCTAGTAGCATGATTTGCTTCTTTGAACAAAGGCCAATCTTCAGCTAGGAGTAAATGTCAGCCCTTCCATCCCTCTTTTACACCAGAGCGCACTAATTTCCAGTTAAAGCTAACTTAAGCTATTTTGTCCAACTGAAAAGCACCTCATCAACTCTTCTATTATTTATCACCTACTATCCCATACTAGCTTATGTGCACTAGCACTAGATTCAAATCTTCTTCATATTTTTATTTTCCTTTATTTTTTCTCCACTATTTTCTACAATGTGGTGCATAACAGTTAATTGTTTTGTTGTAAACTCCCTATCTGATTTATTAGATATTGTGGATTGCACATACCAAATGATTCCACTATGCAATTGCACGAAGTTACATAAATACTGGTTTACACCCCAAAAAGTGATTCCCACTTCAGGCATAGTCGGCTACTAAAATCGGAAATAATGCATATTTGCCAATACCAAACCCTTGCAATCAACACAACACTCAAAAACTGCCAGTCACTAGCATATAGTCGCACATACCCATGTTATAGTTCACAGCACATAACACCAACCCCTTCAATAGCACAATGCACACACTAACATTAAAAAAAAAATCACCTTTTTTTTCCAATTAATTTCCAAAACATATTCATTTTTAACTATATACTTGATTATCATCAAATAGTCACAAATGTATGAATCCAATGAAAGTTCCGTTAACCCCTAAAATTCTTCAACTTCATATTCAAACACTCACCAAAATCCTTGCGGCCATCGAATTGGACGGCCCACGGTTTGCGAGGGAATTAAGTGCGACCTCTGCCGCCGAGTGTTCCGCCTGCCTTAAAGTTGTGCAGTAGCTCGGACACTCAAAAACATCACCATTAAAGTTTACAGTTGCCTTGAACCTAGGCGCGTGATCAGGACCTTCTCTTATGCACGTGTACGACGGCAAATTAAAGCAGCTCCTCTGAGCCAGCTCTTGTAGCTGGTTCTTATACATCAATCCTTCTCTCTCTACAATCAAATTCCAAACCTCTTTCTCTTTCTCTTTCTCTTTCCTNTGATCAGGACCTTCTCTTATGCACGTGTACGACGGCAAATTAAAGCAGCTCCTCTGAGCCAGCTCTTGTAGCTGGTTCTTATACATCAATCCTTCTCTCTCTACAATCAAATTCCAAACCTCTTTCTCTTTCCTTTTTTTTCTTTTCTTTATTGATCGCAGCCTCAAAATCGATTTCGAAGTGGTTTACTCAGGTCAGATCAGAGAATTGATTATTTGGTGACATTCTTGATCACTGAAGCGGTTCCTTTGATGGAGATCGGAGGTTTCTAGAGTTCTGATTCACATATATGTCTTCGCATTTGTGGACGTATATGGAGAGAGAAACGGAAGAGAGAGAAATTGTGCACCTCAGAAGAGAACAGAGAGAGAGAGTGAGTGTAACTTAGAAAATAGAAACCAACCAAGAGAGTGAANAAGGTACACCGCATCAAAGCTGAAGTTTATGGATTAGCCAGCCCCTTAAAGAACTGCCGCTTCCTTTCAGTTTTCTTCGCATCAAACAAAGCAGGATTGTGTACCACAGTGAACTATTGTTCTAGTAGCATGATTTGCTTCTTTGAACAAAGGCCAATCTTCAGCTAGGAGTAAATGTCAGCCCTTCCATCCCTCTTTTACACCAGAGCGCACTAATTTCCAGTTAAAGCNGCATTTGTGGACGTATATGGAGAGAGAAACGGAAGAGAGAGAAATTGTGCACCTCAGAAGAGAACAGAGAGAGAGAGTGAGTGTAACTTAGAAAATAGAAACCAACCAAGAGAGTGAAAAATGTACAGCGCTTTTTGTTTGTATTTAGACCAAATTATATTTTATACCCCCAATTTTGTACATAATTTTTATCTAGTCCCTAATATATCAATTAAAACAACCAAGTTCATAAATTTTAAGCCATGTTTTAATTAAGTCAATTTGTCTAAATATGTGTAACCAATTCTCAAAAGAAAAAGCCACTTGCCTCAATTTGGGTGTTAATTTTGAGTAAATTGATTATAATATTAAAATTTAAAACTATGTCTTACATTTATTAAATGACATATTATAGATTTGAACCCTTTTTATTATCCTACATTGACTTATTTCTTAAAAACAAATTTGACCCATACTCTTTTTGAGCAAAATTATTCCTATGATTATGACACGTGATAATGGCCAAATTGGTATTAGTCGGACATGTGGGCACGAGCTTAGCTCGTGAGCTTTGTAGCTTCATAAAACGAGCTCTGAAAGGAACTTCCTCGCTTGCTAGCACTCTAGTTTGGCAATTCGATTCGTCTTAACTAATTCAAACCAGTTGAGTGTTAATTTCTGTTCCATTTTTCAGCACTGCTTCATTCAAATAATTATTGAAGATCTTTCAACATTACAATTACTTATCCTATAAAAAAGGCATGCCATGTATCACCCAACCCAAGTAAGTAATACACTCACAACTAAATATACCTTTTTTCCCATAATTCTTTTTAACTTTATCGAATTGTCGATTATCGAAATCTTTGTGACTCTCAATTTATTTTACAGGAACATCAAACTTATTTTGCAGGAGAATCAATCGTCGACAATTAGATCACCTTTCCAGACAGCCAGATCATCATTCCCTCCATCATCAATAGGAACGGATTGTGGGATCAACAATACATAATGTTGGCATGATGCTTTGTTATTACATATTTGTCCNTTCTGTTCCATTTTTCAGCACTGCTTCATTCAAATAATTATTGAAGATCTTTCAACAATACAATTACTTATCCTATAAAATAGGCATGCCATGTATCACCCAACCCAAGTAAGTAATACACTCACAACTAAATATACCTTTTTTCCCATAATTCTTTTTAACTTTATCGAATTGTCGATTATCGAAATCTTTGTGACTCTCAATTTATTTTACAGGAACATCAAACTTATTTTGCAGGAGAATCAATCGTCGACAATTAGATCACCTTTCCAGACAGCCAGATCATCATTCCCTCCATCATCAATAGGAACGGATTGTGGGATCAACAATACATAATGTTGGCATGATGCTTTGTTATTACATATTTGTCCACAAATTTGAATGGCAAGACTTCATTAAAAGACGTATTAAACTTTGGGGGTTGATTGTGTCAAGCCCTAAACTATAGTTATTTTTTGAAAATAATAGTTAAATACATAAATTTAAAATTATAATATTTAGCAGTATTTGAAGAGTTACTTCAAATAAATAAATAATAGTTAATTCCTCCTAGAATTCAATTTTGGGTGATAAGATTAGGAAGCGATCGCCCTCGTGATAAGACATAAAATTGGTTCATATTGCCCGTATAATGAAAAAGTAGAGTGATAAAAAATTAGAAGAATTAATAAAATATTATATTTAATAAAAAAGAAAAATAAAAAAAATTGAAGGGTGAATTTTTCTTCGAACTTATCAAAATCAATCCCTCTAAATTTGAGGGAAAAGTTGATGAAAAGTTAATTATGTGCGTTGAAATGTATGTTATATAATATTTATCAATCAAATATTATATTTATATTAATTTTATATGTATATATAATGGTAAAATATATATTTATATTTTTTAAAATAAAAAAAATATTTTTTTCATCCTATCAAATACCAAAAAAAAAATAAAAAAATCAATCATTCATACTTTTCATCTGTCTTACCAATAAAAGAGGGAAGAAATAATTATTTCTTTAAAGTATTTCACTCTCATTTTCTATCATTTCATTTTTCCATCCACTCTATCAAAGGTACCATTACATTTTACTAAATAACAGAAATCTAATTTGATGGTAGAAATGGCAGAGTTATGGTGGGGGAGTTTACATGGGAACATGATCTCTAGAGATTAATTTATAACTAATGGTGGTTCAGATACGGCAGTAATCTTTATTAAACTGACTACATTGGATTAGTGGACATTAATTATGAAATGGGACTTGTATTTTCCATTATTGCTGCAATAATAATAAATAAAAGAGGAGGCCCACCTAGGGAAAAATCACACACCAGAGCTTTGAATGCCTAGCCTACTATTAATTGGGATGATTAATGCCCATATTTGACTTTGGTCAACAGAATTAAAGGCAAGGTGGTGTGCAACTTAATGATCATTGCTACCTTTATCAAATCTTATAACAAAGTTTTCGAATTCACATTCCCTCCGATATAATTTTTTTTCAATTTATTTCATAACAGATCATTTATTATTAATAAATGAGTGATTCATTTATATTCAATGAATTTTACTTGAATACATGATAAATGATCTGTAAAAAGAGGATTGAAGAGAATATATTGGAGATGATCCCTCTCTAAAGTTTGTTTACCCAATTAATGTCGAGTAGTATTACATCAACGTCTCTCATTAACTTTTTTGATAGGACCTACTGATCTAACTACTCATATTCATTTCATAAATAATGTTTGATAAAAAAATTTAATAAGCATATTTTTACTTCGAACTTAATTTATAGTATAATTTGCAGGGTAATGATTGTAAACTTTGAGTCACTGTCATGGTTAGTGCTAAATAAGAGGATCATTATGGTTTTATTTAAATATTAGTAATTGTTCGTGCTTGAAACTATGTTATAACAAATCTAAAAATTGTAAGAAATTGTCTATGCTAAAGGCGTATTATCATGCAAAAAATACACCCAAGTTATAGGATATAATACCAACAAATAAAATCCAATGCAATCTCTAAACAAATGTGAATAGTTACAATTGCTATGAATGACACTACAAAGAACATATTGGAATGTCAAGTATAACACTCACACATAAAATCCAACGTAATCTTTAAATATATGATGGTAACAACTACTGATCATGATATAATACTAACCCATGAGAGTATAAATATAGTAGAAAGAAATCACATAAGCAAGAATGACTTACAATAATATATATATATATATATACGAAATCAAATTCTAATATTTTCACCTATAAATCACCTCTTACCCGTCAAAATAGGTATTAAACAAATTTAAATGTAACTTTTACAACCTAATCTAGGAATAATTTCAAAATAAAAAAAAAATAGAATTCATTATAAAAATTACCAAGCACAATGGACAACAAAAGAGAGTAAGAAATAAAAATAATAAATTGCAATAAAGGCCGTAATACAAAAGCACTACAAAAGGGTAAAAACAAAACAAAATACAAATCAATGCAAGAGAGGAGCACAAAAGATAAAAAGGTCAAACAAACTCATCATCATCGAAAAGTCGCCTATAAACACCAGAAACAATTGCCACCTAGGTGATCAAAAGAGTCAACAATCAAACAAAACATAAGATACGAAAACAGAAAAGAAAGAAAAAAAAAAAACCATGCATAGCCAAGTACTACATTCCACATGATGCAGTCCAACTGTCATTTTTCGATTTTTGGTTGTTTAAACAAATTGAGTTAGCATCAAAGGCCCGTTTTGCCAGTTCACTCTGCCCAGCACCTAAAAATCCAATTTTCTAACAAAAACTCCAATTTTCTGATGTACCCAATAAAGAACGAATATGAAGTAAAAATATGCCAAGAAGTTTCCAAACTAAAGTAAGGAAAAGTAGACTTTCAGTAGCTTTAGGAAAGTGGTTGAGCTTCAATTGATAGACTTTTCTGAGTGATAGAAAAGTTGTAATCTTTGAAACTGAAAAAATGGTCAAAAAGAAGTGCTTGTGCACAATATGTACAAATTCACTTGATTCTGCCTAATCAACAAAATCACCTCGAAATCCCTACAAAACAACAGAACATTTATCTAAACTCATCCAACCAACTCAATAAAAAGTGATTGTAAACAATATGTGCAAAAAAAAAAACGATTAAGCCTAATAAAAAAATCACATCTAAATCCCTACAAAACATCAAAATATTTTATTAAANTCACCTATAAATCACCTCTTACCCGTCAAAATAGGTATTAAACAAATTTAAATGTAACTTT